GTGGGAGCGGGCGTGTCATCTGTGGCACCGGCCGCAAACAGCGGGGCCGCCTGCGGTGGCGGGTTGCCATGGCGCGGGTGCAAACAGGCGCCCTCGGCCCGGCTGAGTCACCCGGGGCGGAAATGACCCCAGCTGACACATCACACCCGAAAACGGCCGGCTGTGCGGCTGCGCGGCATCGCGCGAGCCCGGGGAACCGAGAGAGGGCGAAGCCCGGTGAACCCTCCCCAGGAGGAGCATCCCTGGCCTCTCAGTACCCACGCGCACCTTCCCTTCCAGTTGTGGTCCCCACAGCTGTTGTCACTGCTGGGGCAACCCACAGCTCGGCTCCTCCCGAAACTGCCTCGGCCCGGGGCAGAGTTGGGGGGCCCAGAGGAGTGGCCAGGCAGCTCCATCCTGCCTCCCCCTGCCATACAGAGGATCCTAGAGGCTTCCACCGGTCTCCTCTGACCTCAAAGGTGCACATGGTGACATCAGAGTGGTATGCTGATGTCAGCTGGTCATTGTTCGTTTGCATCTGTCAGTCCCTGCAGGACCGGGGCTCAGGATGGCAGAGGTGAGGGTGGCCTGGATGCAGCGGGGGCTCTGCTCCCGGTGGGATGGCATTGCCATCCCTGCTGGGACAGGATGCCGGATCCATCACACCGTCACCTCCTTTGTCTGTCCACGGCACAAGGTCCATCTCTACAGCAGGAAACCATCGCCTTCCCATCTGCTTCTCCCACCCTGGGAAAACTGCACAGGCAGCCAGCAGAGCAGATAAGAGGGGCCTCGCATGCCGGGACCGAGCCCATGCTGCACTGTGCCGTGCCGGAGAGGCTGGGATTTGCCGCCTGGGGTCCAACTCGCCCATGGCTGGGTGCCAGCCCTCTGCAGCGCCAGGCGTCTTGTGTCAGCTGCGCCCACGGGGCTGCATGCCGGGGGAGCCGCGGGGTGGGGGACCAGGGAACACTGGACAGGGAGGGCGGCCACCCCCGCCCTTTTTCACTGGGTGATGATGCTCGCTGGCAGAGGGACTGGTGTGTTGGCTGGGGGACAGGAGCCCAGAGAGGGGGGCGATGGGCAGGACCACCCACTGGTGCATGTGATGGGTGCTGCAGGAGAGCCCTTGTCTCGACAGCGGCAAAGCAGGCAGCTGCCCCGGGGAGGAAAGGCCTAGACAGAGGAATGTGTGTGGGGACAGGGATGGCTTTGAGCAGGGTTTATGGAGTGGTCAAGAAAACACAGGAAATTGGCTCTGGCTGAAGGTCCTCCTGCCCGGAGACTGCAGCAAGGACGGGAAAATAGACAAGCGATGTGTCACGGAGGGACCAGACAGCACCCGATAGCAGCAAGGTATGGAAAGCCGAGAAGGATGCCAAAGACAGCAGAGGATTATCCAGGTCCGATAAGGCTCTGAGCAATAGAAAAGGACTTTGTGGGCTGTTGGGAACCAGAGGCAAGGAACTGTATGGAGATGCCAAACCTGTTAGGAAGGAGAGAGAAGAACTGGATAGAGATTGCTGAGCTAGTGCTGGATGAGGGATAAGGAAAATGCTTTCCAGGCCATTAGGAAAGAAAGAGGATGTGAGACAACAGCTGCTAGAGAAGATATTTTAAAAATCTTTAAGCCTGGATAACTCACACCCAGGGGTCCTTTCAGGGCCGGTTGGAGGAGCAGCCAGGATCCACGGGACTGGGAGAGCACTAATGTAGTGCTCGATGTCAGAAAGAGCCGCGCTCCCCAGCACAGGGGTGGGAGGTGGGAGAGGCGGCAACCAGAGGGAAA